GCCCCGGACGCCGGGCCTTGGCTGCCCTCCCCCGGTCGGCGGCGGCGGCGCACGGCCTTCGCCAGCCGCCACGGCAAGCGGCACGGCAAGAAGTCCAGGCTGCGCTGCAGCAAGAAGCCCCTGCACGTGAACTTCAAGGAGCTGGGCTGGGACGACTGGATTATCGCGCCCCTGGAGTACGAGGCCTATCACTGCGAGGGGGTGTGCGACTTCCCGCTGCGCTCGCACCTGGAACCCACCAACCACGCCATCATCCAGACGCTGATGAACTCCATGGACCCCGGCTCCACCCCGCCCAGCTGCTGCGTGCCCACCAAATTGACTCCCATCAGCATCCTGTACATCGACGCGGGCAATAACGTGGTCTACAAGCAGTACGAGGACATGGTGGTGGAGTCGTGCGGCTGCAGGTAGCGGCGCCTTTCTCGCCGCCGCCTCGGCCCGGGACGGCAGAGGAGACCTGGCCTGCAGAGAGGCGGAGGGTGGGGAGACAGCCTGGTCGTGAGAGCAGGCTGAGAAAGAAGGGAGCGCAGCCTTCCCAGAAACTTCCACCTGCCAGCCCAGAGGGAGATACGGATTTTCACACCTTGTTCGGCCACCCTGGAAAAACAAGCCAAGGAGGATTTTTTTTTTCTTTATTATTGTGGCTTTGGATTTCTTTGTGTCTTACAGGTTTTGATAGGAGATCGGGGGAGGAGAGACGCAGACCTGTTTCTCAACTGCTCCAGGGATTGAAAAAGTAGTAATTTAAAAAGGGAAACAATGTGGGAGGAAGAATCATCTTTGACCACATCTTGGTTTGGTTGTTTTCCACTTGTGTAAAGAACGCGGGGTCTTTCTGTCTCTGTCATAGTCCATGTCTTGTGACCTCCAGAGCAGAAAGTGTTAGGTAGGGGAATTGACCAAAGGAATAGAAAATCAGGAAGGGTCCTGCCTTTAGGAGAGCTTTGAGAGAGGTGGGTTCAAGAGCGCCTTTTTCTTTCACGCTCTTGTGTACACCCGTGAGTTTACCAGCTCTGCCCTGGCCTCTCCCAGTGCCGGGAATTGGCCACCCCCATCTCACTCCTGAGGGCTCAGGTCGCTGCCTTTACTGTTGCATTTTCTGGTGGGGGAAAGGGGAGTTGGTATGGATGGAATGACAAGAATTAGTCCAAATGGAACCCCCTGCAGGATAATGAAAAACCACAAGGCCTGCCTCTGACGGGGACTGACACCAAGGTGCATTAGCCCAGGCTGGAGGTACCACTCCAAAGCTCTTCCTGATGTGTTTCAAATCGATTCTTTTAAACAGAATTTGCCAAAATTCAGACATCCCTTTCTAAGGAGAAAATGATTTCCCAGATAAAAAGAAATGGGTAGGGGTGGGGAACGACACTGATATAATTAAGGTGAAAGGTACAGACCATGGCAAGAGGACCCAAGAAGTAGAAGGGCCACAGCAGGAGGGGAGACGGTGGGTCCCTCGGGAGGATGGGGACAAAGGGACAGGCCAGGAACATGGAAGGGACAGATAAAAGGGGACACAGTCCCTATCTCTGAGGTTTCTTCAAAATCTGTGTTCTCTCCCCTCTCTCTGACATTCCTGAAAGATTACCAGTCAGCAATAGCCTAGGGCTCCCCCAAAAGAATTGTTTCAGATTGTAATTACCAGTTAGGCAATGTTTTTAAAACTTAGTAATGAGAAACTGTGAAAGGAGCCACATGTTACACTGTGCTCCTGGTGGGACGTGGGGAACAGGCAGGAAGGAAGGAGGCAGAGGTGGATGGGATTCACCTTCCAGAAGGAAGCAGGTGAGCGCACACGGTGAAATTGAAATACCCATTTTCAGATAGTCAGAGACATGAACTTTCCCCCAGCCTGTACCAGTATTACTTTCAAACATTGCCTGTGAGTAAACCCTTTGAAGAGTTACCTTCCTCCTCATCTTTGACCATGAAATGGTTTAAACAAGGGAACTTACACCAACCATTAACACAAGTTTTGGTTTTTCCTAAGTGGTTTTGCTCTTTCCCGATTTAAACCTGTTGCTTGTTTGGTTCAGAGAACTACAAACTGTCAAAGGAAGGGTGGGAATGATAATAAATGGTAATATAAAATGCTGAGTGAAAAAAAAAAAAAGGACTTGGCCAGGAGAAATAATTTAAAATGCACATTTGCTTTGGATGCACTGTTGTTCTGTTAAGGCTGTATATATTTGTTTATTTAAGGTGACTGAAAGTGCAAAGAGGAAATGGACAGCATGCAATTCATCTTAATGTACAAAACGTTATATGCACTCAAATGTTATAATTTCTATTTTTAAAGTTTATATTCGAGTTGTACAAAGTTAAGCATTCATCAGATATTTCATTCTTTCATAATGTTATCATTTTCTTAAATATTATTACAAAATTTTAAGTCTGTCTAATGGAGAGTTTTTTTTTTGAAACTGTCTACCTCACTATAATACAAGTATTTACAACACTAACGTTACTAGAAGTCAATTAATATTCAAATCATTTTTTACAGTACACCTTTTCTGGATGATACTCAGTCTAATACTAATTAAATGCATTTTCCCTCTTAATTACTCAGCCTGGTTTATATGGATCTATTTAGAAAAATCATTTTCTCAAGGAATTATTGTCAGTGGTATTTTGTTCCAGTATGGGACCGAATGTCTGAAAATACACTGATTATTTTAAAATCCATCCTTCAGAGTATTGCACTTTTTCTTCATAACTCTTCAATTATTTTTTTTTCATGACATTTTCATTTACCAGATTAGAGCCAAATCCTTGTCAGCCATTAGAACAGCATTTATAAACCTGTAACTCATTCCAGCATGTCAAGAGTTAAAATAGGAATTGGATTATTAGTTTCTTTAATGTTGAAAAAAGAAAGTGGTAAGTTACCTAAGTCAACCAAGATGTCAACAATTACTGTTTACATTTGTGGCATACTGGAAGCACAAGATACAAAATGTTTTTCTGTCCGTTCACTTGCTGTACATTGGAGAACCCATGTGCAAGTGTACATCTGAGTGCTCACAATGGCAGGCACAATGCTATTGTACAGGTGTTGTCTCACTTAAACCCCTCAGAAACTCTATGAGATAGATATTATTATAGTCCCCATTTTACAGATGGGGAAACTGAGGGTGCAGAGAATTTAGATAACCTGCCTATGGTCATCCAGCCAGGGAGTGGTAGTTAGGATTTAAACCTCGTTCTTTTAGACTCCAGAACCTGAGGAGTTAAGCACTATACAATTCTGCCCCCAGATCATCTACCTGCTCTCTAATTGGCCAGTAAATGTCAGTTCAGGATGGGGCAGCAGCAGGGATTTGCAGCTAGCCACAATTGTTAGGGAATGTCAGTTAGTGGAGGTGTAGCTACCACATGGGGCCACCAGCATTGCCCGCAGGTTTGTAATCCGTGAATTGTGACTGCTGGGATTAGGGCAGTTGAAAAATGGGTATGGATTGCAAGACTCAATGAGTTCTTAGTTTCCAGCTTGCCAAAGGAAGCCATTATGTCATTGCTGGGTTTCGGCAGGTTCTTTACTTTACTGGGACTGCCTTGGGTGTACACTTTGTGAATTTTGGTTATTAAAATAATGGTCAGTTTACAAATAGGTTATGTTTCAAAGACTGGTTGTAAGTGGACTGTTTAGAACTGATAAACATTTTCTTAGGGAAACAATTCTCGCTTGAATTTCCAGGTCATTTTGCAAAAGCTTTGTTTACCCAAATGGACCTTTTTAACAAAGCAATTTTGACATCTGGGTTTTGGGACCAGATAATCACCTGGAAAAGCAAAAAAGAGGCTCTTTCTCTTTCCTGGGTGGAGGCTGTTTTTGAAATTGTTGAGAATTCTTTGCATTTTTCTATCACTCTTTCTATACCTCGCACCCCTCCCCCAACCTCCCAACTGCCCTGAGGACTCCCAGCCCTGCACCTTAACATGTCCCCCCCAATCCAGAGATTTCCCTTTTCTGCACAAGTATTTCCGTCTCCAAAATTGTTTTCCTTTATTTTTTCCATCAGAAAGCTTATTCCTTAACTCAAGTGGTGGGAAAGACACAATCTGATTGAATTACACAAATATGTACCTTCTAGCCCCTAACCTTGGAGACATTTGCATTTTAAGGACATCTTGGTTAACTTGGATTGCTTGTGAGTAATGTGAAAAAATCCAGACAATAGAGAAGACTTAACACTCAAGGCACACACTATTTTGAGAGTTGTATGTGAACTGGGCACTAAAGATACAAAGATAAAAGGAGAGACATTTGTCGATGTGAACTTTTTGGTGTCCCTTAGGGAAGATTTCATGCAATGAAGAGACTATGGACAATTTGTTTTAACATTAATATCCAACGTATTAAAGCGAAACATTTAATAACATTTTTTTTTCCTAAAGCAAACACTTTTTTTTCCCTAACGCACTTAAGCTTATTGTATGGAAGCCCCATTAAGGTCAGTTTTTGCCCTTGTTTTGTACATTGCTGTATTTCTAGCACCTAGAGTAGTATCTGTCACACAGCAGACACTCAGTAAATATGTCAAATGAATAAATTGACAAATCCTATTCTATTTATAAATCTAGTAACTTTAACAGTCACCTTCTTTTTTTCTTGGCAGCTGACTGGAATCTGAACCCTTGACCTTGGTGTTACAAGGCAGTGCTCTAACCAGCTGAGCTAACTGGCCAGCCCAACAGTCACTTTCAAGGGAGCTTTTGATTGATGTCTTTTCAACTCAAGTTGAATGGGCCAACTTCCCTTAATCACCAATTCCAGTTATAAACCTAGTTAGAAAACTTCCTTTAAATATTGTACATTTTATCAATTTAATATATCCAATTTTCTTTTTAAAGTTTTCGAGTTTCTTTAACAGAAATAAACCTTACGATATACTTAAATCACCTCAAGTAAATTAATAAATTAAACTTCTAAAAATGGTGATTCATAAGTTCTATTAGGCATTCCACTACAGTATGTACCTTTTGACTTAACTTCAGGAACCTAAAATTACCCGTGTAAATTTATTAAGTTTTTAAAAAATTGATGTGAGAGCTAACCTTAATAAACTACATTTTCTTAAAGCTTGAAACATTTGAAATACCAAATATACACAGATTGTCCTAATTATTGCAAAACATTTTTTGAATTTAATACAAAAGTGTTAATAATTTAGATTTAATATATTTAATCTCTGTACTCTCTTCTAAAATTTTTTGGGGTTAAAAACACCACTATGAAAAAGTTATGGTGTCTCAAGGAAGGTGGGGTGACCATTTCAGCAGACCATGGCTACAAATCTACCAAAGGTTTTAGTCAAGAAAGGAGATGGATTTCCCCTGGGACACTGAGTTATATGTCAAGTTCCTTTTAAGAGTCATTGTAATAGAAGGAATCCCAAATCCATATC